ACAATTCCACATTATTTGCTGAAATCACCGCCTGTGGCAGTGAGTTCCAGACCCTAACTGATCTTACTGTGAAGAACCCCCTTCGCCCCTTGTGCTGGAATTTTTTTTCCACCAATTTTAGGTGGTGGCCTCTAGTTTTTGTAACGGAGTTAATTTTAAACAGTTTATCGCTAATGTTGCTACCACCATTAAACATTTTGTATATGGAAATCATATCCCCCCTTAATCTCCTCACCTCTAATGTGAACATGTTTAAATTTAGTAGCCTCGTCTCGTAGCTCTGGTCCTCCATACCCCTAATTAGTTTGGTTGCCCTTCGCTGGACTTTTTCCAACTCAAGGACATCTTTTCTTAGTACTGGTGACCAGAACTGGACCGCGTACTCCAGATGAGGTCGAACCAATGATCTATAAAGTGGCAAAATTATAGACTTGTCCCTGCAATACATCCCCTTTTTAATACAGGACAAGACCCTGCTAGCTTTGTTTACAGCAGCCTGGCACTGCAAACTACCTTTCAGTTTGTGGTCTACAATGACCCCCAAATCCTTCTCCATTTCTGACTTCCCCAGCGGCATACCCATAATTGTATAACCCATTTGTTTATTTTTAATTCCAAAGTGCATTACTTTGCATTTATCGACATTAAACCTCATCTGCCACATTAATGCCCACTCCCCTATTTTATCCAGGTCCTCCTGTAATGTTATAATGTCTAAGTCCGTGTCTATTACCCTCCAATTTTGGTGTCATCCGCAAACACGGAAATATCGCTGTTAATACCTTCCCCGATGTCATTAATAAATAAGTTGAACAATATGGGACCCAGCACAGAACCCTGAGGCACACCGCTCATTACACTAGCCCAGTCTGAAAAGGTGCCATTTACAGATACCCTCTGGACACGTTCCCGTAGCCAGTTCTCTATCCACGTACACACCAATACAAGATCACCTCTTAATCCAGTTTGACTTTATATTAGCTTCATGGAGTTTCCTGTATAGCAGGCAGAAGGATGTGAGTGCATCTGTCTATACTTCAATGCCAGGTACTGTTAGATATATGCCTTTGTTGGCGGGCTTTGGGCTTCTGTCGATGGGCAAATCCAGCTTGCTGTTGACTTCAGTTTGAGGCGCGTTTCTGAGATCATTCATAATTATGTGACGGGTATAGTTGACCTCCTTTTGACCTGCATTTGACCTTTTTTAAGCAGGTTTTGCATTCTGAGGCTAGGTCCACACCTAGGCGATTCAGAAATACGGAGCTGTTTTTGCGCAGTTGTCGTGCAACTGTTCATTGAAAACCACACAGTTGTTGCACGGTTTTCAATGCATAGAGATGTCTATGGAACCCAAACTGCTCAACAACCGCCCGAAAATAGCTCCTGCACCTTTTCACGTGGCAGGCGATTTCGCCCGCGCGACAAACCGCTAAGGTGTGAACAGCCTTCATTGACTTCAATGTGAATCTGAGTTTTGCGTGTTATCGCGCTACCCAATCCGCGCGATAAATCGCCTAGGTGTGAGGGCCGGTGCACACCTAGGCGACATCGGATTGATGTACGCTCAGGAGTTACCTAGATGTGAACTGATCGTGCTGTGGGTGCCATTATTTTCTAATGGCACCCCAGTCGCACCGGGCAGATCCTGCGGTTTCCCGCCGCAATTCCGCCCGTTCTTCCGAACACAAACGCGGCTAAAACAGCCGTGCGTCGTGTATGGCAAAAAAAAGGTACTTTTACCTTTTTTCTGTGATTGCCGCGTGGATGTCAACCCGTTGAAATCAATGGGGCCCCTGCCTGCATTGTGCAGGACCGCGCGATCCCGGATCGAGTAGGTCTGCACCAGCCTGAACCTAGCCTCAAAGTGACCACACATTTGAAGCTGATAGTTTTAATATTACATTCATTTACATTCATATGTATGAAAACCTGAGGCATGTTTGGGTAGTTTTCACATACTATTTGTATGAACTGGACCTTTTTGATGAGAACTTGCATGTCTGGCTAATTGTATTGTGTACACGATACTTTCATACAGCTAAATAGAAATGTCAATGTTTCATGTTTATTACACAGAACTATTCCACATATGCTATTTATGGGCCATAATCAGCATAGTTTGTCATGGTGATAACTAGACTGAGAAAAAAAGTGGATGCATGCCATGAATCACACATGCACCGTGTTTTTTAATCTTTTAATAACTGGATCTGCTTTAAAGATTTACATTAAAGGAGAACTATAAAATGAGTGAAAATCACTCATCCTCATAGTTCGAGCCGACGTGTGACAATGAAACTGTCACACGTCAGCTCAATAGATCGGGAAGTGAGCGAACGCATACCGTCGCTCGCTCACTTCTCGATTATCTCCCTGCAGAGAGTGGTGACTGTCAGTTACAGTCCCCCCCTAATCCTCCAGCGCTGACTGGAGGAACGGACGGGGAGGGGGCGGGTAGAGCTTGCTCTGCCTCTAGATAGGCAGAGCCAGCTGTCACTCACGCAGCTGGGTGGATCTCGACAGTAATGTGGGGATCTGTCACGGCTGCGGCGTTCTCCGTATACCGCAAGCTGTAGCTAGCGATATACTGAGCTTTGGATCACGGGAGGACGCTAGTTTATGTCCTCCAGTGACACTTAAGAGAATGAAGGTGAAAAACACTTACCCCATAGTTCTCTTTTTGAGTTCACATGGGCAGAAGCCTCCACCACCCTCCTGAAAAGCGACCCGCGGTGGAGCAGTGGCTGCCCGACATTCAGAAGGCGTCTGTCTGGCAATACTGTGCAGTGCGGTGAAAAAAAGTAGTACCTGCACTTTTTTTCACTGCAACTAAAACTATTGTGTTACTGCACGTTACAGTGCACAAATGAATGGCAATGCAACGCACCTTGTGCGTGGGGAATCACACTAAGTGTGCTGTGTGATAACATGCGTTAATCTCATGGTATGATGTAAATGGGCACACCATATTTTAAACAATTGGGCTACTTTGTAGAAGCAGTTATATATATATATGTATATAAATATATAACTCCAGCAGCAACAATGTAACCCTTTTTAAAAATGAAAACATTTCAAATGTAACTGTATCGTGAACCAAGCTATAGAAGGAAATACAAGGAATTCAATAAGCTCCTACCTGTAGACAGCAAGGTTAAATGCTGGAGTACTTTAAATAAATAAATATAAAAAAATATTTTTCTCTCCTTGCATGTATTGCAAAAATCACTAATTAGCGAAGACTAAAAAGTGTAAAAGTTTTGTTAAAAATGTTACCAAAATTTTGCACTCTCGATCACATTTACTACCGCTGGTAAAAAGCCTGCTGAGTTTTAAATGATTTGGTTGCAATTGATGGCCTTTGTATATATCGGCATTGCCAGTTTGAAAGCTTTTTGGGCTTGTTCACACCTAATCCAGTGTGTTCCAGCATATTTAGTGGCCGGAACAAGCTTGATTGCAAGCCTCCCTGTGTTCTGGGGCGTGAGGGGGTGTTCAAGTCAATGGCACCAAAGCCATGCCTCCCATCCGCAGTGCGATTGCACATATACATTTTTTTTTTTTTAAATATGTTTTATTCCCTCGCCCCTACATATATGCACATATAAGCGTAAATATGTAATCTGTGCGTATTTACAAAAAAACTTAATACAAAAAATGTTTCATTCCCTTGCCCCTACGTATATGCACATATAAGCGTAAATACGCGTCGGGTGCGCCACGCGTGAAAACAACAATTGCGCTGCACATGTTACATATCACCGCAGATGTCGGAGTGCAAACAATAATTGTAGGGCCATCAATCACTGATAACACTAAAGTAAAAAAAGCGGTAAAAGCTGTCACCTGTGGGCAATTTTGGGTATTGTATTTTGTTGCGGATTCACGGGCGCGCACAATTTTAAGGCTTGAACTATTTGGTGTCTATTTACCTGACGTGACCCCGTCTTTTATATTTTATCAAAAAATTGGTTCTTAATAAATGTTTCATAACATAACATATGGGAACAGTTTTTGTTTTCAAACTTTTTGGTAATTTTTCCTTAAAGGAGAACTATGGGGTTAGGGCTTTTCCCCATAGTTCTCCTAAGGGTAATGGGAGGACACAAACTAGCATCCTCCCGTCACCCAGAGCTCAGTATACCGCGAGCTACAGCTCGCGGTATACTGAGACGCCGCAGCCGGAACGGATCACGACAATTCTGTCTGGATCCACCCAGCTGCGTGAGTGACAGCTGGCTCTGCCTATCTAGAGGCAGAGCCAGCTGTACCCGCCCCTGCCCGTTCCGCCAGTCGGCGCTGGAGGATCCGCCAGGGGAGGGGGGAATCCCTGCAGGGAGCCGTGAGTGACAGTCACGGCTCTCTAGATAGATCGAGAAGTGAGCGAGCGACGGTATGTGTTCGCTCACTTCCCGATCTACTGAGCCGACCTGTGACAGTTTCATTGTCACAGGTCTGCTCAGATTTTGAGGATGAGTGAAAATCGCTCGCCTCATAATTCTCCTTTTAGTATAATAAAACCCCCAGTGGTGATTAAATACCACCAAAGGAAAGCTCTATCTGTCCCAAAAAAATGATATAAAATTAATTTCAGAATGGCGCTGTATGATGGAATAAATGTCAAAGTTACCGCAGCACTGAATACTGAAAAATGGCCTGGCCAGGAAGGGGGTGTAACATCCCGGTCTTCAAGTGGTTAATACCAGTTCTTGAAAGTGCAAGATTTACAAACTGCAGCGAGAATCTTCGGCATGCAAGGCAGTGAATACTAACTGATCTTTTGCAGCATGAAAACCTTTCACACCTTTGTCACAATAGGTAGAACAGAAAAAATCTGCAGCCCAGCCCAGCCCAGCCCAGGGCTCTGTCCCCCAGGCATGATGTTTGCTTGTGAGGTTTCAGCACTTGCCATGGGAGAGTAGAGGAGTGCAGGCCCCTCCTTGCTCCATGACATCAGGGACCTTTGCACTCCCACTCCTCTCCGTTCCCGACATGCACTGACAGTTGAGTGTCTGGATGAAGAGCAGGCTGCGGGAGAGCTCTACCTTGGAGTTACCCACCCTCATTGCCTTACAAAGGATCATTTTGTTTTTCTGATTTTGGTCTGTGGCCTCTGGAAGGGAGCAGAGCAGTTGCATTTGAAGAAAGGTACAGTGCTTGCTTGCAACTAAACATCTTGTAGAGTTTCCAGGCTGGAGGTCGGCTTGATTGCTGTGCTGTTAGACTGTTCAGCCTATAAAAGAAAGGATTTCGGTGTGATTCAGAGTTTATAGCAGTTTAGAATTGTTTAAAGTTACAGATTTAACATGGAAGGAGAAGATCTCAAACTTGTCAGCTTTTTCCTGGTCGATAATGCGGAAAAGTATTTTTATGATGTGAAAAGTTACAGGTGAATCCACATTTAACCCTTTCTGGTTCCTGTAGTACAGTGTTCTGGAGTCTGATATTAAGGGCACAGTTGCTGTTTTTAACCTCAATAGCGGCAGAGCTATAGTTAATCAAAGATATAGTCCGAGTCGTTTTTATATTGTAAGGCTGATGTTAGATAGCTGACTCTGACACTAGCGATCCAAGTGCTGGTGATTTGTCAAAATGAGCTATAAGCCTCCTTATAGGCATAGCACATGCATTTCTATATTCATTGTAAATCTGAGTTGTCAAAACTTCCTATTTGTCCATAGGGGATCGCACCCTCAGAAGCTGAGGCGTCGAGTTGTCGCTCCCATCGCTGCCGATCGAGATTCATCGACAGAGCGACATCTCGCTGCATCTGACCACAGAAGACACAATTCCATAAGGACACACATGCAGCCTCCTGCGATTCTCTGACATCAGCCTAACTATTTTATACCAATTGCAATGGCTGTAATCAGAGAATGAGCTTTAATTTAAGTAATGGGGGCATCGGGTACCAACGCCTTCAGTTCTATATGGTTCTGTGCTGACTTATTATGTAGATAAAAGCAATGCATTTCACTTAACACTTCCCTTCTCATTCATCTATTTGCACCTCTAGTAGCATTTAATAAATATTGAAACAGGAAAAAAAAAAGATATTTGTGTATACAATAATATCCGTCTGGTAAACGTGAGCATTGGAAGATATGCAGGGGCCCCATTTACATTTTAACACCATGACTCCCGACCTTTTTGTTATGGTTATTATTGTTATTGCTTGGCTCATTTTATTATTTTCTGTGATCCCTTTTCAGATCCTCTCCAAAGTCTTACTTACCGGTAGTTCCAGCTTTGAAATGCTGAGCTGTCGTTTAGGTGAATTTATTGCCGAGATGTAAAAGTAAGGGTTAGTAGTGGAGATCCGCCCTGTATTTTATAGTTACAGGTCTAGTGACTTGACGAGTCATTGCAGACATCATTGTTTGTGGAAAAGTTAGTAACACTTTCACTGGGTCCTGGTAGAACTGGTATGTCTCCCAGCATGTCTCTGGTTTCAGGGACACTGAGGGCCGGTGCACTCCTAGACGACACCTCACCGTGCGGTCACGGAGTCGCCCAGCACAAACGGTCACGCTGTGGGTGCCATTATTTTCTAATGGCACCCCTGTCACGCCGGGGCAGATTGCGCGGTTTCCCGCCGTAATTCCACCCTCTCTTCCGAACACGATCACGGCTAAAACAGCCGCGCGTCGTGTATTGCAATTGCAATATCTGCGATTTCCGCACGGATGTCACCCCATTGAAATCAATGAGGCCGCGCGGCAATCACTGCCTCCTCCCGGTACACCCGGTCCTAGTCGTGCTAGGTGGATTGTGCGGTTTCCTGCCACAATTCCACCCGTGCATCCGACCACGATCGTGGCTAAAACAGCCTGTACCTTTTTTCTTGATTGCCGCGCAGATGTCACCCCATTGAAATCAATGGAGCCGCGCGGCAATCGCTGTCTGCACCGGGCCTTAAAGTGTATGTATAATTTAAACCTTTTCTTTTAGTTTTGTATAGAGTAGTGAAGGGTTAGAACACCTGTCAGGTATCTTGCTTGGGAGATACATTCTGACTGTTATCACCAAAATAGAAAGTGATGGGAAATCCAGAATTTTAGAGTTGTCCTCAGAACAAGAAGTGTGAGGAGAAATCTTCTAATGGGGACAGCCATTCTGGTGCAAAGTGTATAGGAGGCAAATTACCCTCATTTTGTAGAGATTTCCTCTTACTTCCTGTTGAGTCGCCAGGGCAGGAAGTGAAGTGATATCTCTTCAAATGGACACAGACCACAATAAATAATCTAACAGGATTTTAAACTGTTCCTCAACTTTAAACAGGTGTTTACACCCTTCCCCCCCAAAGCTTGTCTGTACAATGGCTATGCATATACTTTAAAGGAGAACTATTTGATTAAGGCTTTTCCACATAGTTCTCCTTAGGGTAACGGGAGGACACAAACTAGCGTCCTCCCGTCCCCCTAGGCTCAGTATACCGCGAGCTACAGCTCGCGGTATACTGAGACGCGGCAGCTGAAGCGGATCCCGACAATTATGCCGGGTCTGCCCAGCTGCGTGAGTGACAGCTGGCTCTGCCTATCTAGAGGCAGAGCCAGCTGTACCCGCCCCCTCCCCAGTCCATTCCGCCAGTCAGCGCGGGCAGATCGGAGCGGGGAGGGGGGAATCCAGCCCCTCCCCTGTCACGGCAGAGAGCCGTGACAGGATCGAGAGGTGAGCGAACGCCGGTATGTGTTCCATTACCTCCCGATCTACTCACCTCATAGTTCTCCTTTAAAGGCACATCTACCTTTTTAAAATAAAAATAAACACATTAATAAAATAAATAATTTTGCATTTGAGCCTAAAAAGCATTGCAATAGCAATCAGTGGACGGGGGTGCAATGTTCAAGCTTCTGCGGACCAGCCCTTTCATGCCAAGGTATGGACCTTTGGTTACGAGACTGAAGTGCGATGATGTCACCAGGTTTGCACTCCATTGAGAACTATGAGTCCCTCTGCCGCAGTGGTAATCTCTTCATTCCTATGAATGGATCTGTGAATGAATGACGCGGCTGTGCAGGCAGAGCCACGCCAAGTCAATTAAAAATGAATGTAACAAAGGTGGAGTTTTCTTTTAAAGTGACACTAAACTCCTGTGATGGACTACAGTCTCAATACAAATTAGCTAAATTAACATGAGATTGTAGTACATCACAGGAGTGAGCTTGGAGCGGTGACTACTTTACAACACACACTGAGACCATGGAGAACAAAAGTAGCCACCCTCCAGAAGGAAGGACAGTGTCAGCACCAATTCAGAGATGATTTGAGGATCTACAGCCGAGTGGTACCACACATTTTTATTATTAGTTAGGGTACTTGAATGCATTTTTGAGGTTGAAGTCCTGAGTTTAGTGTCACTTTAAATGTGCTCAGATATTGGTGAAAATGGCAGACGACATCATTGCAAAACTCATGGACATTTGGAAACCTCTAAAAGGCACTGCGGTATCAGTCCACTGATGATTGCTTTGTTTTTCTGTCTGGCTTTCTTCACAGGCATTCTCCATCCAGAGAAGTTAGGGTTGTTTATTGTCCCTATCACCAACCACCTCGGGCCCTGAAAATGCCCCAGGTTATAAATCAGGATAAGCCACTCTGAGAAAAGTGAACTATAGAATTGAGGAGCAATAAGGAAGGGCACTCCAGTAAAAAGCTCCATCATGTATGAACAGCAAAGGTTATTCTTGTTTTCCATATACACTACCTGCGAAAATCGATGAGTTGTCTTTTTGTCCCTGTGCAGTGATATAAAAGTGATAACGTCTGTACCTTGTAGAAGAGTACCCTAAGGCTTCATTCACACTGGCACTCCTGTGTTTAGCTTTTCTTTACACAGGAGAAGTTATGCGGGAAGTATAAACAACTTTTATGCTTTGCTCTGCACTTTTTCCTGCGTTTACATGTTTCTGCTTAAAGCCGCATTGAGAGCTTCTAATTAGATTCTGCACAGAATTCTGTTTCAATCTAATTCTAATGCAGATAAACGCAGTAAAAGCAAAGTCTGAATAATACCATTGGAAATCATTCACATTCATTTATATAAGTTTGAAAATCTCTAAATGCATATAAATGCAGGTTTAGAGATGCGCAAGCGCACACTGCCCGTTCAACATTGCAGTCATCGGAAGCCCTCCCCTCAGGGGGGCGGGCTTGCGATGATCGCAAGTACGATCTGCCTGTACAAGATGGGCAGATCGTACGTTTTTTTAATTACTTTACAACCATCGCAAGACAAAAGTCTTGCAATGGTTGTAAGGTGTATGGGCACCTTTAGACCTTGGTGTCAGCCTCTGGTAATCCTCTACAGCAGCACTCTGACTGGGAGAGGAGATGGCCGAATCAGGTGTGCTGCAGTCACATGTGCTGTACATACTGAGAGGAGGAGGAGGGAGCAGGATGACCTCTCCAGTCTGCTGCTGCTCTTTCAGGGCTTGTTATTATTATACAGGATTTATATAGTTCACACCAAAGCCGGACCAGATCTGCATGAGTTTCTACACACGCAGTGCAGTGTGTTTTGCCGTGTTCCGGGACGTTTCTTTTTTTTTTTCAAATTTTTTTTTTTGGCCTAAAATGGGCTTTCAGTGCGGTCCAGTGCGTTTGCATGCGTTTTTGATGCATTGGCTTGTGTTTTGGTGCGTTCCAGAGCAGAAAAAATAGGACATGCTGCAGTTATTCCACATGCTCTGGAACTGAAAGCTTTGGTGTGAACTAGAGCCCAAAATACAATTGGAATACATTGGATGCAATACAGCACAGAAGAGTCAGGTCACTGAGATGGCTGTGCTGTGTGGCAGAGCTGTGTACATCTCTGGACTGGGTGGACAGATATGCAAACCATATGGCAGGTAAAACAGCTTCCATGCTGTAAATGTATTTAAACTGAGTATTTAGCTTTTGACTAGAATTCAGTTTAAATGTAAGAACTCATGTGAGGACACTGTTCCTAGCAAAGCAATGTTAATACACAAATCCCCATTTTTGAGTGATATTCCACAATGTCAGCTATCAATAGAAAGCATTGAACACTATGCACAGGCAAGTCATGTGACCCACTTCAAACACAGTAAAAGCAATTTGTATCTCTGTGTCCCATGAGACCTTCTGGCTAAAGAGGTATGCAGCTCAACTTTAGGAGCTCCTTA